TGAAAACCTGATTTTTTAAAACGTGTAGCTAAATACCTGGTTTATGGTAATTTCCCAGTGAGAAATGGAATTGGGAAAAAAAATCTTGTAAAGCCCCATTAGAAAGCATTGATATCCATTTATAATCCGGCCTGTTTAGTTCTTATTCATGGCCCAAAAGGGTGCAAGCGGCTAAGGTTTTAACCACCGGTGTTACGCTAAAAATTGGGGGGGAGGCAAAAAGGGAGACACAATTCATCTTCCCCTTGGCACCAATTTATCTTGGGTTGCAGTAATTTCTGCTCGGCTTCTTCATCAACAAAATTGGAAGGTACTATCGGATTTTATTAGTGTAAAAGGGGGCTTCATATGTTTGTGAATGATTTAATTTCAACTCAACACCTTCAAATTTATTTATTTATTTTTCCGAAATTGTTGTTTCTTGATGGTAATCTTCCTCTATCAACAGTGATTTTTTCACGCCATCATTTCTCTTGAATTTTTGATGCGGTTGTTTATGGCTTTCTCCTTGCCTTCAAAAACCGGCCGCTCGAATCAAGTGTAATAGGTGAAATACCCAGGAACAAAATCCAGTGGGAGTGGCTCCGCCCCTGTCAATAGTTTGATTATTATTTCTGGAAAATTGGTTCTGTTTCAGCCATAGTGTGTAAATGATCTGAACCAAATATCACTCCTTTATTAGCTACCCACTTTCGAGCGATTAGAACACTTGGATTGGCTGAAGGGAAAAAGTAAACAGAGGCTCAATCAACATTCTTGCTTCTAATTTAAATTGAGAAAATTGTTTATTCGGGTATTGCAGAAGGCAGTTAACCGTATTGAAGATAACTTATGCCCAGCCAAAAAAAAAAGTTTGATTTTCCAACTGGAAGTCAACCTTTTGACTTGTTCCAATTTTTCGAAGTAATGAAATAAGATGTTGCTTTGAATGTCCCAGTGCTTCAAATGTCCTAAAAGAAACTGTGGCAGTTTATGTTGTCATGAAATAAAGTGGTTCATAGAGTAAGATGTAACAAACACGATGTTGCTTACAGGATTTGGGATGTGTAGATTAGGTGAGTTCTGGAGCAATTGAAAGTTCTAGGAAATATTGTCCGAGTTCGGCGAACTGTTCTGTCAATATGCAAACTGTAGGGCATGTTATATTTTGCAGACTGTAAAACGAATTGTAGCAAGTCTTGAAACCAACCATGTAATCCATCCTTTAATACGATGCTCTTCAAGATCTAGATACTATTATTAACATAGGCAGTTTTCATTTTAGACTTCATGCGTTTAATTATTGAAATATTATATTCTTATTCCTGCTACCAATCTCGTTACTTCAAATTTATGCACTCTTCACTTGGATTTCAAGTAGTCAATAGTGAAATTTTGATGTCTAAATTTGTAAAGCTATGAATTTCCAGATTTATTCTTTCTTTTGCCAGTTGAATATGTATATTTATCATCGTCTAATGAAGGTGCTAGCTTTGTTTACCTCCAGTATTAGCCTGATTTGTTGATTATCCATACCATATTGGGCTGTACCAGCAATTTATACAAGCGTGATGCTGGGTTAATTTCATTTGCAGTGACAGAAGTTCATGGAAACTGCACAGCAAGCAGAGTCATCCCTAAATCATGCTGGAAGCTCAGATGCATCTGAATCAAACAGCTCAAATTATGTAGCACATGTCAAGAAGCTGCTATATCGCCCAATGCTGGTTGGAATCAAGGATGGACGGTTCTTTATAGGCTCATTCTATTGCATGGATAAGCAAGGGAACATAATTCTTCAAGATGCAGTAGAATATCGGAGCACTAGGCGTTCTTCTCCCTCCCCAATGGAGCACAGAGGTGTTGGTCTCATTTTGATTCCTTTTTCTTGTCGAACTTCTTGTCATGTGGATTGCGCAATTGAAGAACAGTTGTCTCTATTGTCACTTCAGGAGAAGAAATCGTAATTTGATGTGCATAATGTAATTGAGCCACATTATTTGGGTTATCGATTTACCACGTTTGTGATGTAATGTTTTTATACTCCTAGAATTGATTAGACAATTTTGGGCTTCGGTTTTGTGTAAAATGATTGTTTTTCTGAACTAAGAACTTGATACTTGCATTGTATTTCCTTTTATTTAGCGGGTTTAAAAGATCGGTCAATTTCTGTGTTCAAGATGGAAATTCCAACCTCCCCTTCCCTCCCCTCTAGACAGACCAATGGTAATTTTCTAATCGGAATTTACCCCATTTCTACAAAATATTTCTCTTGGTGGTTGACCTGTGAGTAGCCAGAAATCTGAA